AGAAATATATCTTTTAGGAAAAATAAAACACTGGGGCAACGACTCACTTGCTGAATGAAAAATATTAAAAAATGTTTTAAATTAAATAAAGTATGTTAACCCATTAACATCCATATCATACACGATCCTTAAAATAACCACAAAATGTCTGAAATTGTTTTGACTCATTCATAATTTTTATTCTGTTTTAAACAAGACTGTAGCAATGAAACACATTAGGAATGAATGTGAAGTATCTATATCATTTAAAAGAAAGAAGAAAGGGGAGGTAGAAGATGGAAAAGCAGAGAGGATGAAAGACTGAACAGTGTGAATATTTAGTTTTAAACTCAACTAATTCTAGGTCCCAGTGTGCCAATTACTAGCTCCTTAGCCCTCAGTGGTTTGGTATAATTCACTTCCCCACTCTCGCCCCCAGATTTTCATCTGGAAAATGAAGACATTGGCCCAGATCAGTGATTTTTAATGCTTTCTTCCCTGAGACCATTTTAAAGACAGTATCAATTAACTCTACAGTTTCCCACATGGGAGAGTTCACCCTTTAAGTACCTGTTTTTTTTTTTTTTTAAAGTTTAATGATTTCAGAAATGCTTAATAATTCTTATTACACAAGTAGCAGCTACATCCATTTTTAAAAAACTCATTTTAAAAAGTATGTTGTACCTGCATAAAGCAATAAACTACAAGATTTTTTTCCCTCTTAGGTGAGAGGCATTTGGGGGCATGTATGAACTTTACAACAATTCCTTTACTCTATACAACTACCTCTCCACAACCACGTCCATGCACCACTGAGCACTTGTTATTGTAGAACTTTCCTCATGCAATAGGTAGCATGCAGCAAATTTTTTTAAAAATATGTATCTAAGAATGCTTCTGGCTTTCAAATAGTGTGGTGTTATTTTGTACCTAAGAAAATAATTAAAACTATCAGTCATATAAAAAAAATCAAAATCACAAAGCAGTGTTTTAGGAATATTTTTACTAAAATTTTATTCTTAATGATAATCTCCAAAAGAAAAAAAGAGCATGAACTTACTTATTTTTACTTTCTATGTTATACTTCTCCATGTTGAATAATTTAATACTGGCATTATGACATATGATACCAATGGGGCATTTTATCTGCTCTTTACAGGCTTATACTCTGAGAAGGAATATGAAATTACAGGATCCCTGTACCAACCGGGAACATGTAATAATGTAGTTATTTGTTCATTCACACACATTCAAATATTTGCTGATTATGTAAAAGATATAAAGCCAGATAAGGATAAAAAAAGGTAAATAAGACACACTTCTCCCAGCTCAAGGAGTCATGGTCTTATTAACATACAACAACAAAACTGCTGGGGAAATGTGAAAAGAAAAAGTTTGACCAGTCACTGCCAACAGACTATATGCACAAGACAGGCTTTAGATCGCTGTGCTGTACCAGACTTATCTTCATATCTTTCCCTTTAAAGTTCTGGGTTTATGTCACTAATTTAATTTACCCCATTATGCCACTGGGAGGTCCTGAACCTAAAATGAAGCAATGCTTTCTAAATTAGATACATTTCTGAAAATATACTAAGTTTTATCTTACAATGAAGAAAAGGGATTTATTTTCAGAATAGCCAGGTAGCTACCTTCAAGAAATGTCAGCACTAGGTGCACTGATTTCATCTGTTAAACGTGCATACTCACAAGTACAGTTAACCAACTTTGGAGATTGTGGAACTTTTCATGTGCAGAACAGTAAGAATACATAATACATAACAGCTGCAAAGAAAGGAAAAAAGGTTGGCAATGAGAGAAGATGGGCAGGCAGGTTGGAAATATAAGTGGTAAATGGCTAAAACTGGGAAAACTAATGTGTAAAAAATTGAAAAAGAGTTGATAAAGTTTAAAAGGGTTTAGAAATGATTTTGACGGACAGGTTAATGCTCTCTTACCAAAACATTACGATCATGTGGAATCTTCGTTGCAAGGGAGAGAAGAGTAAGATTATAGTGACAAATGAGCAACACAAATGAAGTAGTGATATGGGAAACTGTCTGGAGGGGAAAAAAAGGAAAGTGGGGTCTGGACTATGCTTCAGGCAGAAAATGACTCATTTCTACTAACAGATAGCCCCAGCCCTGATGTAAAAAAACTTCCACAATATTGTTGGAAAATGATTATTCCTTTGTCTGACATTCGCAATTTGTCCGATACCTCTGTGTTACACATCTACTGATTAAAAAAAAAAAAAGCTAGGAATTACCTCAAATCCTGTTTAAAAATCCTGTATAGAACCCCAGAAGGTTTAGAAGAAATAAAGCATTGTTACTGAACACTGGAAGGATATTCCCAGTACAAAAAAAGTATGCAGGTGTTCCAAATGTGCTCTTAAAGCAGAAATAATGATGGGTGTTGATAGTTAGACTTAATTCTTTTCACCTACATATAATGTTTCCCTTTGTTTCTTATTTTAAGAGAGATTTCCCAATGTAAAAATATTGCCATAATTTTTAAAACATCTTTCCAAATGATGAGTATCTTTGACTACCCTAAAATTTAGTAAGCAGCACTGGATTTTAACCTGGAAATTTTTCCAGTATTTCCCTTTCCCTAATACCTATTACCCATGACCTTTCCCTTTACCTAATACCCATGACCTCTATTGAGACATTCACAACAAAGGTCACAGGGCTCCTTGGCTCTCCTAAAGAAAAAGCAGTGGGTAGGGGCAGACAGACATTCACTGCATTATTATTCTTAATGTCTATTGGAATCTACCCCATGACTTCAAGTTAAAATTGTACATAAACCTACCAAAGGTTTAGACTGAAAACAGAACTGGAGAAGACAGATGTTATAAAATGGGATTCAAAAATCTGTGCAAGGGTATTAAGCAAATTACTGCTACATTTCTTTTTCAAATTGAGTTGCAGTTTCAGTATTAAGAGTCTCTATTGTTGTGTATGTTTTACCCAATATTTTTGTATGTGCATGTTTATGAGCTTTATTCTCGTTAATTAGGGTCTAAAGACATTGTTAGGGAGTAAGTGGGCCACAATTAAGGGTTAAATTAGAGAAAGATACACTTTTATTAGACTTGAATACCGCCCAGATGAAAAACACCACCACCATTAAGACCTCCCTAGTATAATACATCATTTCCTTTGATGATCTTGGATCCAGAAATGTCATATATTTCAAAGATCTTCTCAATAAGATCTGCCCACCTTCAAATATAATCAATATGATATTTTATTTTAGTGAAAAAGTCACACAAAATTTCCTTACCACCTTGCCATAATAGGTAAATTGGATTGCCAAACACCATATTGTGCAAAATGAAAGCCAATTTGAAGATACTGAACTCCAAAGTTCAGGAATAGAAAAATCTTGCATTTTAAGATGTAAAGTGTATTTGTTGACTGCCTTGAGAAAGAATATGGCAGAACAACTCACGTGTCTTGCTAGAAACCAGAAAACCTAAGAGCAATATAAACATGCAGAAAGTGTCTTTCAAGCTTACTCCAATTGACTGATATGTATAGGGCATTGGGTAAAATCAGAGCACTATACAATCAGCACTTTACATGTTAAGGCTTAGTCTGAACTCCAATTTCATTCAACTCTTCACCCACCCCAAGGAGGCACTTCACACTATTACAGCAGTCACTTCTTCTCTAGAGATAATCAAATACACACACAATCAAATTCACACTCAGAAGGCTAAGGAAACCAGGCAACCTCAAAGACTAGGACTTTCAAGTGTAGATTTGCCTTTCCATCACTCAGGTGTCAAAGTCTTGACAGAACAAGTGAGACCTACATTTGCACATGAATGCCAGAATCTTCACCCAAACCAGACTGGGAATTGAAAGGTTGAAAATACTACTACTAGCAAAATTCCAGGCCTACACTCCAAAATCTTTGAGGAACAACAGGATAGGCCCTGCCCCATAAGTATTCTAGTTAAAACCAGAGACTGTCTTCTAATGTTTGGAACTCTGGGAAAGAAAGCATTTAGACTTTCTGAAATTTGGGAGGAGGCCGAAGCACCCCACAAAACCATCTGAGTCAAATCAAAGTGACAATGAAATAGACAGTTCTAAGAAAGCAAAGATTCATATTTTCAATTCCACATTCCCAAGACACCTCAGACCACAATGCTCATTTGAAACAAATGACGTCCACAACAAAGAGAGCCTTCACAGGCACTGGACAGCACTCAGGGACTTCTAATGTTTCCTAGAACCAAAGAATAGGCAAATACACTACAGGTTATGGTGATCCAGCACCTAAGATCTTAATTTTTTAAAAAATGCAATGTGTTGGGACAATGTATGAAAAGCGGAGAAGGAAATCAAGGGCTTCCTGCTGTTAGCTGGATATTAGTACAGAGCTACACTAAAAATCAAGGTCATCAGTCAATCTCCTGCTCCCCCTTGCTCACTGCTTTTTTGATAGCAGCTTCCCGTCCCTCTGGTCCGCGCTGGGCAGTGCCAGGACTAAACTTCTAAATCTTGAGGAAGGTGGGAAAGTCGGCCAGAAAAACACTGTACTGGGCAAAACAGAGGAGGGAAAGAGTCAAGTTTCAAAACAAAGGCTCCTCACGGAACTAAATATCAACCCCTCCCCACTCCCTAGCCTTCAAGGCAGCTAGACTGGGCCTGGATTTTCAAGAACACAAATAAGTCCGGTTTCCCATCTCTCCGGTGTTCGAGTTCACGCAGGGCTTTGCTATTCACTACAACATCTGCACAACCACTTGCTGAGGGTAATGCCAGGCTCTCCCCCACCCCATCACCGTACCCAGGTAAAAACCGAGGCTAGGAATGTGACTAGCCCAAGGTCCCACAGTACAGCCTAAACCCACCCCCTAAACTCACCCCCACGCCCAGCCAGCACCAGCAGGGCGCAGTGCAAGGGCCCTGGGGGCCGAAAGGACGACGCCCCTGCACGGAGACCCCAGCCGGGGCGCGGGGAGAGGGCCCGCGCTCACTTCACGCCCCGGCGCCTACCTTCCTTGACGCCGGGCAGCTTGGACTGGTCGATGCCGACTTCAGCCATGTTGGGCCGGGGTCCTGGCTGTCCCTCGCCGCCCGCTTCCCGGCCGCCGGCGGCCCCGCGCGCCGCCCCGCGCGCAAAAGAAGCAGCAGCGCCCGACGCGGCGCAAAGTCCCGCCGGCGGCGGCGCGCGCGCGGCCCCGGAGCAAGGAGCGGGCCGCAGGGTCAGGGCTGGCGACAAAGGCGGCGAGACACAGGCCCCGGCGCACCAGGCTGGCGGCCTCGCTGCCCCGCCGCAGCCACCTGCTCCAGCGCCCCGGCCCGGGTCGATCCCAAATATCCCGAGCCCGGAAATGGACCCGGGCCGGCCAGTACGGAGGGAGAGAGGAGACAGAAAGGCGGCGGGCGCGAGGCGGGCGGGCGGGCCCGGGGCGGGGGCGGGGGCGGGGGAGAGGAGTTGCAGGTCTGTAACCGCAGTTGCCAGTGGCTGGCGAGCGCAGAGCAGCTCCAGCTGCCGCCCCCCTGCTGTCTCCTTTGTGCCGGGGGACGCGCCTCCAGCTGGGGCCCCGCAGCGCCCCCGCCCCCGGGCTCTGCCTCCCTCCCCGCCGAGGGTCGTGTCTTTCTGAGCGGGCTTTGTGTCCGGAAGGCCTCAACAAAAAGGCCATAAGGGTCACCCAGAATATAATCGTTGCTGTCACCGGTGTAGCCAGCATTCTGTGGCGGCTTCTGGGGCTGAGATTTCACAGGATGAAGCTTATTGTGAGCCTGGGGCGGACTCCGGCAGTCTTTGCCTGCAGGATTACAGGCAAGATAACATATGAGCTTTAGAATAAACCGCTAGTACAACGCGCAGAACTCGAGAGCGGCTGACAATGGGCCAATTTAGAGAATGTTCGCAGAGTCAGCTGGGGGAACTGAGTCATTCATTCATCAGTAACACCTGAGGGTGGTGTAAGGTACTAGGGTGAAAACAATGTGTCAGACAGAGCCGCTCTCACAGAATGTTACACATTGGACTATAATTGTGATGATTTTCTGTCTCCGAATTAGACATCTCCTGACTGCATCTCTAGCCACAGAATCCTCCCTCCCTTTGGGGGAGCCCGCCTCCTCCAAGCTTGTGCAATCATAGAACCTCTCCACCACCCACACGTGTTCACCTAAGGTTGAGTGTGTGAGGAGGCAGGTCAAGCAGAGTACTTCCCTGCTATTATTACAGAAAAAAAAGGGGGACAGAGAAGTATTCTGTTTCCTGTGGGGAAGATTTGCCTTCACTGGTAGATAAAGAAGCCAAACTGCATCAGAACAAAGATGAAAGATTGTACAAAGAAAGAGAAATGAAAATTATATGAAGCTAGTAAAAGTTAATTTTCTGTCCCCTCAAAGGATCACAGGTTGGAGACTTGATTTGTAATTGCACATTGAAAAAAAAGACAAGGGCAGTCTTCAGAAGAGCAAACATTTAGGAGAAGACATTGTAAACCCGAGCATGGCGAAGCATGGCTGACAAGGGAAACCTGCCCACTGGATTTGAATGACTTAAATGTATTTAAATGACTACCTTTAACTAGTTACATACTTAGATGCAAATAGAACATAATGTCAATTTCGCTTCGTAGGTCTCAATTTCAAAAATAATTACTATTGAAACCTAGTCAGAAAAAGTAGTGACATCCGGGCCTCCCCTGGTGGTGCGGCGGTTGAGCGCTGGGCTGCGAAGCTGCCCGCAGCCTCTGCAGCGCCAGTTCGATCCCCGGCCGCCGGCTAGGGGCCCACATGGCTCGACAGACCTCTCCTTGCCACTCCCGCTGCTCCCCTCAGCAGTGTATTTCATCAGTCTGTCTGATCTGTTCCCCGCTCTGACTCTTGTGAATTCTCTCACTCTCCCGCGCTTCTGACTGTACCCAGTGGTTATATAAATAAGTAAATAAATCTTAAAAAAAAAAAAAAAGTAGTGACAACACCCAGTTAAATTCAATGTGTGAATAGGAAAGAGGTGGTTTTATGGGGATTTTCAAGTCCCCTACCTGCTAATGACCTTTTTTTCCTTTTTTCTTAACTTCCTGTGGTCATATAGACTATTTATAATAGCAGGTTTTTTTTGTGTGTGTTTTTGTGTTTGTTTTTTTTTTTTTTTTTTCCCCTGTTGCCCTTCACAACTCTACTGTCTCCACTTCTCTGTCACGCTCGGTCCTGGAATGCTGACATTTTGAACACATGGACAAGGTTGCCTTGTCTTGTGTTTCTGGCTGAGTGACCACTTGGAAGTTGTGTCAGAAAAGCAAAAAAAAGGAAGGAGAGAAATGTCAGGATATGTGTTACAGTCTCCTCCCCTTAATCGGCCAAAATTCTTGCCATATTGTGACCCTCAGTGACTACAGTGCCTACCTGAGACCACTTTACCATCTTTTCATGGGTCTCTAATAATACCATCTCCTTGCAGTGCCCCTTAAGGCTTAGGATGGTAGTGGCTTCTCTCTGTTGTTAGTTCCCATACCCATGTCTCTGTAAGCCATCCTTTCATTATATTCCTTTCAACTAAACCATTTTGAGAGTGGCTTCTTGTTTCCTGCCTGGATTCGTATTGATATAGTAAGATATGCTTGTTTTCCAGAAAAAGTATCCACATTTCTCCCCTAGAAAAAAATGAAAAATATATACAAAGCCATCCATATTGTTTAGGGAATCTACTGCCCTCAACAGGAAAAAAAAAAAAAAAAAAAAAGACAGAAAAAAAAAAAAAGTAAGTAAATAACCATTACTGAAGCAGATGATCTGGAAATTCCCCTAATAGTTGGACTTTCCTTCTTCATCTCCACCCCTACTCTGCATCTGCTCCCAAACTTAAGAATTACAGCTAATGCCTGGGATCAGACACCCTCAATGAGAGGGCTAAAAGCACTATGAGCAATGCATAAATCACATCTGAGTATTTATTTAACTGGAAATAATTGTGTGGTGAATTCCTAGAACTAGTTTGTCTTTCAGTGTCCTAAAATGACAAGTTTACAGTAAAAAAAAAAAAAAAGAGAGAAAGAATGATATCCCAGAGAGGATACAAACCCCTAAGTAAGTCAGAGCTAAATCACAACTTAAATGTCATAGGGAAAAACAAGGACTTGTTTATAAGACAATATGGAACCAATAATTGAATCTTTAGATAAAGAGTTATATGATATTTTCTCTCTAAGAAGGTTAGATTGAGAAAATAATAATAATTAAAAAAAGACAATGAAATGGGGAGAGTTTAGTCATAAGAACTCCAGCTAGAAAACTATGAAAATTCAACAGTGACAAGTATTACTAGAAGATAAGCTTCATGAGGGAAGAGAATTTTTAATCTGTGTTATTAGTACTAATACCTACTACTTAAATTAGTGTTTGATACATAAGTATTCAATGAATATTTATTGAATAAATGAATAAATAATGAATATAGTCATCCAATGGCATTATCAATAAGAATAAAAAATAAGGAAGACTAAAAGAAAGTGATACAGACAAATGAATAAATGACATTAGAACTTTATACGGCAATAAAAGGAACACAGATTTACACATGTCTCTGGAAAGACACTCTTCTTTACACTTGGTGTTTCTTATCTCAGTACCACAATCTATGAAAGAAAATGGTTCCAAAACGGAGTCTGCAAATAGAACTGTTTATCCAATTTTACCAAGAAGACAATATTAATCTGTTAGGGCTGCCGTAAGAAAATACCAAAGACTGAGTGGCTTAAGCAACAGAAATTCATTTCCTCACTTTTCTGGAGATCAGAAGTTCAAGATTGAGGTGTTGGTTTGATATTTTCTCAGGTTGTTCTCTTTGGTTTGCAGCGTTAACCCTCTCCCTATGTCTTCACCAGGTCTTTCCTATGTAAAATGCAATGTATCTCTCTGTGTGTCCAAATTTCCTCTTCCTGTAAGGCCATGTCATATTAGATTAGGACCCATACTAGAAGCTCATTTTATTTTATTTTTTTAAAGATTTATTTTATTTATACAAGAACCGGGGTACAGGCCAGATGCGTGGAAGGGTGAGAGGATTCACCAGAGACAGAGCGGGGAACAGAACAGGCAGACTGACGAAATATACTGCTGAGGGGAGCGGCGGGCTAGCAGGAGAGGTCTGCTCGCCATGTAGGTTGCTCCAAGGCCGGCAGGGCTCAAACTGTCACTGCAAAGGCTGCGGACAGCTTCACAGCGCTGTGCTCAACTGCCGGCACCACCAGGGAGGCCCTAGAAGCTCATTTTAAAGCAATCTCCTCTTAAAAGCCTTAGAATGTAAATCACATTCTGAGGTACTGGGAATTTGGAAGGGCCACAATTTAGCCCATAACAGAAACCATTGTGATGACAATTCTATAGTACTCTACTCTGTTTACCCCTTACCTCAAAGCTTTACCATCTGGATGCTCATCCCATATGTAAATTCCCTAATCTTACCTAGTTCTGGACCTTCCCAATCACCCAGACCTTTTCACTCTGCCCTATAAAATTCATAGTCAGTTTTCCACAAAACCCCCTACATCTCTTCTGTAAACATCTCCTTCTTTCTCCCTAAAGAAGCCCTGTTACCATCTGAGGACATTGTTTATCCAGTGTCCCTCTAAATTAGTGATTATTTCTTGCACATCCTATACCCCACTGAAACTGGAGATGTCATGAGGGCTGTATTTTTATCCTATTGTTTCTGTCAGAACATATTTTTCCCCTATTCTTAACTATTTTTAGCTTCTTTGAAGCTCTGACACTATCACCCATTGCCTCTCCTTAGGGCAGTTTCCACATGATGGTTCCTTTCTTCTTGTCCATCGCCACATAACTCTTGGTGATTTTATTGTCTCATAACCTGGTCTTCACTCCTTACATCCAGTGATTTTATGCTTTTCTCCATCCAAACACTCCAGGGTCATTCACCAGAATTGGCATAACTAAAAACTAGGATCCTTCATCAATCTCAAACACCTACCACTTCTATCACTCCAACTTGCTCTTGCTAATACCCCAACTCCAATAATTCTTCAACCACACCAAACCTTTAAGCTGCTTACTCTACCACTTTGGCACTGATTCTCATTTGGCCCAATGCCCTCCTCTTTTTTCTTAATTTGTTTA